AAAGATTTAGAATTTTAAAAAAGATGGTAATTCACTGCATTAACAATTTCATGCTAAATATATGTTGAAATTATAATATTGGGATTAAATAAAATATAATACAAAAATTAATTTCATCTTTAAAAAATATAAATACTAGAAAATCTAAAGTTATATATGTGTCTCACATTATATTTCTGTTGGACAGTGCTGGTCTAGAAAGCCTTCAACCAATTTCACACACGCAGATCAAAAAATTTTTGAAAACCACTTTCTTCTACAAGTTTAAATAGACATCTATTATTTTTAATTCTAACTTTGAGTAAATGTAAAGAACGTAATTCTATTATATTCTAATTTTACAGATACCTTAAATATAGTTTCTTTAAAATATTACATCTTCGATTATTTAATTTCTAAAAAATGTCCACTGTAAGTTAAAAATGTAAAACACAGATATTTCATGTTTTTCATTAGAAGACTTTGGGTATTAGGTCTCTTATCCACAGTTCTAAAATTTAAGAACCTATTTTTTTAAAATAGCTTTTCTTTACTTATATTTAACAATAAGACCTAATCTTACATGAACACTTTATGGGCTAAAACTAGACATGAACTAATAAGAAGCTATTTATAATCTCTATTTTATGCAACTCAGTATAACTATTAAATATCAACACAGAAGTATTAAAGTGTGTTGATCAAGGTGTGTTTCCCCAATAAAGGTATTCAATAATACATACTATATATAGATTACATTTCTAAAATTTGAGAATTTCTAAAGTCTAAAATATATCTGGGAAGGTGGATGGAGGGATGTGTGAAAGGGTAATAAAAGACACAAACTTCCAATTATAAAATAAGTTTGTGGTGGGACATAATATACAGCATAGAGAAAACAGTAATATCATGATAAAATGACAGATGGTTACAAGATTATGGTGGCCACATCATAATGTATATAAATATCAAATTAGTATATTGTACATACTAATATATTGTGTGTCAACTATTCTTTAATAAAAAATAAAATAAAATATTTCTGACAACAAAAAAAATGTAAAACATTGTAAACCCAATCAGACAAATCAGAAATTCTTTCTGTAAAAAAAGTCAAACTTTGTATTTCAATTCAAATTAGTATACTATATACTTCTATGTATCATGAATTCTAGTCTATGATAGACAGAGATTCAGAGAGATGGATTAAAAATAGATGTATAGTTGGATAGAAGAGAGATAGATGATAGATAGATAGATAGATAGATAGATAGATAGATAGATAGATGATAGATGATATAGATAGATAGATAGATAGATAGATAGATAGATAGATAGATAGATATAGATAGATGATAGACAGACACATGCATACATACATAGATGCATAGATAAAGAGAAGGGCTTTTAATAAATGTGTTGTTTAGCTAAAATAATGTTGTCTCCTTCAAATATATTTCAGTCCATCTATTTTTTGCTTTGTTCTCAAGGACTCTTACTCATGAGCTATACATCTGGAATTTCTTACTCTGAACCTCCAGAGTTTCATTTACACTCAGATAAAGTAAAATATTAACATTTCTGTTGACACTGTGCAAGAGAGTCACAAAAGGGAGCGTGATTAAAGAGAATAAAGAGATAGAAGAGGGTCATCTGGCAGGACAGCGTTAGAGAGTGGAATACTTTAAAATGGTGTCCATACCCCTTGGGAATTGTTTTTGTATCTCAAGGGTATGCATACATCAGATTAAAGACAAATGCAGTAGACCACCTGTAATACTGAGAAAGACCATCCTCATAAAAATTAAGAAAATGTTCATGATAGAAAATTATTTATTTCACATGTGGAGCTAATGTGAAATGCATATCTTAATGCAAAAAGAACAATTAATTCAATGATCAGGTTATTTAAAATATCAACTCTAATATTTTAACTTGCTGTTATGAAGAAACCCTTAATTGCAATCAATAATGAAATGATGTAATTAAAGGAAATAGTCCCTTACAGAAGCTTGTGGAAGAGAAATAAAGTAACCTTAAAATTATGTATTACTTTAAGACTGTAATGCTCATTTATTATATTTTACTTTTAGTAAGCTTAATGGCAATGTTTATAAACTAATCAGTAAAATGATTATACTTTAATTTTTAATATTTTAGTATAAGACATAGTTATTTCTATATTAGTCAGCCACATAATCATATATGGAAGGACACAGAATACAGTAATATTTTTCTGCATTAATACATAAGTTAAATATAGCAAATAACCGAAGATAAGAAACATATCTCTTGAGGAGATGGAAACATTTGGCAATGATAATTGATATCATTTGCAGTGTTACTACTTTGAATCAGATATTTCACATGTTCTTATCTAATCAGGTAAAACAACTCTATGATATGGTATTATTATATCTAAAAGATTAAAAAAAAACAACAAAAAACTGGGCAGAGGATTCACGGACCATCCCTTCCTGAACTTGTACAGCTATTCAAGAGGGACTGTTTGGATTTTAAACCAGTTCTATCCAGTTTCAAATCTCAGAGTTTTTTCCACCTACCATATATTTGTTTTGGACATTTAGAACACCATGATTACTTTTCAAGTTATCAAACATAAAGAAAATATGAGCAATACTTTTTGAAAACAATTACAGACATTGAGGAATTAAGCCTGTTGGTTAATTAGAGTTCATACTAAGTAGGAGACCTGCGTGCCCATGGTTCTTGCCAGCAACTGCCTCCAAAGAGTTTTTAATATGGCAATCTATGGAAGCTTTAAACTTTAACCAGCATTTTTCAATACTGTGTTATAACTTAGTTCTTCATGAAATTGACTTAGTGAGGCATGACCAATATTTTAAAATAAATAGATCACAATAAATTAGAATAAAAATAGAGAAGTACACTTTGGTTGTAAGAGAAAATATTAATTTGTGGGACAATGTCTGTGTGTGCATGTGCATGTGTGTGTGATCTGGGACACAACACAATGTAAAATATAATTCTAATTATAGGTCATGGTTAAACATTCTTAAAAACAAATTTCTATAGATTATGTTAAAATAGAGGTAAACCAGCAGATTAAAAATTGATGTCTTTAGTCAGCTTTTTTTTTTTTTTATCCTCACCTGAGGACACTTTTGCATTTATCTTCAGATAGAGCGGGATGGAGAGAGGGAGGAAGAGAGAGAGAAACATCGACATGAGAGAGACACATCGAGTGGTTGCCACCTGCACAATCCCATCCGGGGCCGGGGACAAACTGCAACCAAGGTATGTGCCCCTAGCGGGAACCAAACCCAGGACTCTCTGGTCCGTGGGCCGATGCTCTAACAACTGATCAAAACTGGCCAGGGTCTTAGTCAGCTTTTTTATTAAAAAAAAAAAAAAAAGGTAAAAGTAATTATGTCCTTGTTAGAAAATAAATTGGATTTTTTTGAGGGGGAGAAAAAGAAGAGATAAAAGTTTGGCAGATTAGGTATGATAAACAAGGAGAAATGTGATGACCTTTGTGAAACTTCAAATAACTCAGTAATGAGAATAAATTAAAGTTAACAGAGCAGGTATCTTACAGAACAGAAAATCATTACCACATTTGATGAAAATTATCGGTAATTACCATGATACAAAAAGATTTCTATCTCCATGTAAGATTAATACAATATGTTTCTCAGTACTTTACAAAATGAACTCGCTTCATGCTTATCTTAGTGTAAGATACTTGTCTCTCAGGGTGAGATATATCCTCATCAATAGCATATCTTATAATAAAGTACAAAGCTCTGACCTTTACTATTTATGGGATCTTAAGCAAGGTATTTAGCCTCTCTGTTAAATGCAGAAATAAACCTACCTCGTGCGGGAAGCTTATGAAGATTAAAAAATTCATAAATAGTGCTGCAAATTCTACCTGGCATGCTGCTAAGTGTTCAATACGCCTGAGTTTATTTTTCAAGTACTTCATGAGTTTTTACTCTCTCAACAAGCTATAATTTGCACAGAAAAGGTAATCGATAAATAAATATGTGTTGAGTTGAACTGAACTGATGACAGGTTGGGTGGTAAACCAATCGCCTCTCTCTCTTTTTACCAGGAGCAGCAGAATAAAGAAGGAGAGGAAAATTTTTTTTTTCAACGGCCCTTACACTCCCTCAGCATTATAATTTTGTCTGAAGTATTGTAGCACATACATATCTGGATGTATAACTCACTTTTAGTGAAAAAGAAAGAACCCAACCACTTCATCTGACATAATATGAATCTTCTATTGGTGCAGAGCACAGTAAAATCAACTATTTTTTTTGGCATGTGCCCCTAGGGGGAACTGAATCTGGGACTTTCTGGTCTGCAGGCCGGTGCTCCAACCACTGAGGCAAACAGGCCAGGGCTAAAATCAACTGTTTTTTAAATATGTTTTCATTGATTTTTTTTTTTTTTTGAGAGAGAGTAAGGGAGAGAGACAGAGCACCCTACAAGGGATCAAGCCTACAACCCGAGCATGTGCCCTGACTGGGAATTGAACCAGGACCTCTCAGTCCATGGGATGAACCTCCATCCACTGAGCCACACCAGCAGGGCAAAACCAACTATTTGTAATAAAAAATAGCTGTGTGACACATGGCAGTAGAGAAACACTGAAAATCAGCTCTGTTTCAAACATACTATGCCTGAACAATCTATAAAGCAAGAAAGATATGAAGTGAAAAGCCATTATTCATGACTTCTTAAAACAATATATATATACTCACAACGTTCAAAAACATGTCTCAGAAAATATTCATTTATAATGTGAATGTGTTGTCAATTACGTGTTAATAACTGAGAGTAGAATCGCATTATTTTACATTTATTTTCCCCCCAGATTTTCAGATAAGTGTATGTTGTATATAACGGATAAGTAGAAAATACTGCAGAACTCAAACTTCAGATATGAATGTTCTTTACTGCTCCCTCCTCACGATCTCTTTGTCTTTGGCTCCATGATTATGCTTTTCTACCGCAGATGATTTTCTTACCTTGTTTGTATTCACCGCGGTGATGACCCAGACGCACTGTGCATTGCTGTCATACTGGAACGGAAAGTTGGGGGACGTGAAGCTCCCGCTGGGTCCTTGAAGATTAGAGCCACACGTCTTCACTGAAAGAGAAATTGCATTTGGAAAGATGAGCATACACCATATGCAAAATCATAGCAATGAAGTAACTTGCAAATAGACTTTAAATGCAAAATTGCACAATTATAACCGCATTGAAGTATATATTACAGCTTGGTAATGTTCACTTATCAAAATGAGAGTGTTCTTTATACAGTGCTGTTCACAAGCTCAATATTTTCAGCAACAATTGAAAACTAGTGATGAACAAAGTGGGTGGCATGATAAAATGTCCTCTCGCTGTAAATAGGTTAGTTTAATTAGAGGAAGGCATATTTATCCAATATTGTGTTTGCAAAAATCTACAAAGAGAAAGGAAGCAAAGGCTTGGATTGATTAAGCAATCTAAAGGGCAGTATTTTCATTTATATTTATTAAGCACCCTAGGACACATGGCATAACTGAGGCATCGATATTAAAACTACTCTTTCTGCTTTTATAACTGTGAATCAGACCACTCAGACTGCACAAAGAGCTACAATAAAATAATTTTAAGTCCCACAAACGTTAAATGTTATAATATTTCCTCTGACCCTTCTTTTTTCTTCTACTTAACAAAAGAGCTTGTGACCACATTGCGTCTGTCTGAACTTCCACCTTTTCCTTTAACTTGAAGTTTGTATCTTGTGGTGATTTAATGATTAATTTAAAATTTTCTCTTGTTTTTGTCTGATTGCCAAATTTTAAACAATGAAACTATGTTATTTTGTAACATGAGAAAATAATATTTTCTTCCTTCAATCTTAATGACCAATCTGTCTTTTCCTATTTACTGCCTAACTTCTTGATAGCCTTGAATACTTACATTTTCTTCTGTTCCATTTGCTCTTTTATTTATTCATTTGTTTTCCATTCCTGTGGTATAAACAGTCTGACCTTGGCTGATCTTAAGCTACCAAAGGTTTATCAAAGCCTTAAAACTTTCTGACTATTTCAAAATTGGCTCTTTTTTCCAGCCTTATTGATTATAATTACAATGTAATTTTGTGTAAGTGTAAGGCATACAACATGATGATTTGATACATGTATAATATTGCAAAATAATAAAGTTAGTTAACACCATCACTTCAGATAATTACTATTTCTGTATGTGTTTGTGTGGAGAGACTATTTAAGCTCTCTCTACGTTCATAGCAATATGTTAATGCAGTATTATTAACTGTACTCACCATACTGTACATTAGATCACCAGAAGGTATTCATCTTATAACTGGAGATGCATTCCCTTTAAACAACATCTCCCCATTTCTCCTAACACCCCCAGCACCACTTCTGGAAATGTACGCGTTTTTCTTCCTTAGATTTCACATATAAGTGAGGTCATTACATTACAACCTTTTAAGTTACCCATGCTCACTACTCCACTTTCTTCTCCCCTATTCCCTTTTGAAAGTATTTCAGTCTGACTTCTCCCATTCCAGCGCTGAAATTGCATTCTCGGTGCTAGCAGTGATCACCTAATTGCTAAATCTAATATCTCTTCCTTGTTTCCACATACTTAATCTGCAGCGGTAATGAAAAGTATCGATAATCTTTGTTTGAAATTCTCTACCTTGCCTCACACAGCCTTGAACCCTCTGACTTATGGCCTATTTGTTTAAAACACTTATGCTCCATACCTTCTGTTCTGATTCTATTATTTTTTTCTTCTGACTCTTAATAGCATAATTATAAGTTGATTGAATAGCCTATTTCCCTTTGTTCAATGATCTCTCTGAATTGTTCTTCTAATTCCCTTGTACAATGGTCACCCCTGCACTGATAGCTCGCACATCTCCACCAACAATTTTGCCATCTGTCTTGATTTTTAGAGTAGTTGTCTGTTTGCTAGACATTCCATGAAATGTTTCAGAGATGTTTTTAATGAACCCTTTCTTATCATTTCCCTGTACCTCTCTCCCATACATACAGAAGCACTGCTAAAGACCTTTGTACTCTTCTGAAACATCGTTTTCCTTTCTTTTCTTCGCTTCTGTATAACCACTGCTTCGTTGTTATCTTTTTCCTGGACAGAAATAGCTACTGAACTCCTTCCTGTATGCCATTTTCTTTCTCTGTTTCATCTTCACTGGTGTTACTAAATTTCTCTTTCTAAAATACTGATTTGATTATTTTACTTAATTGCATAAAGTCTTGATCTCCTGTTCCCTATAGGATACATTAACATTGGCTCATACAGAGTATAGAATGGGTCCTGTGAGGACCTAGATTGCTTTTCCAATACAATTTCCTGCCATTTTATACAGCCATATACTCAATGTTTGCCCCCAAGGAATTCTTGCTCCTCCTTAGACATGCCATATCCTTTATAATTTTCCACTTTTGCTATGATGTTCTCAAATCTAAAAGGCTATTTCTTCTTGCATCTGCCTGCAGAAATCTTATTCTTTTAAACAAAGCCACACTGATGCGCCCCTTTTTCTATGGGAAGTGTTCCGGTTTCTTCCACTTGGGACTCTGTAATGGATAATAATACTCACAGCACATGATTTGAATAGCACATTTATAAAGGTGGTTAGGTGCTAGTGATCTGATAGAAAAGGTAGTTACAAATACTTTAAGAACTTAAACAATACAAATTTTACAGCAATCAAATGATTGGTTTGAAGTTTGCAGAAAGAACTTTCTGATGGGACTTAGTGCTTCTTTGAGTGGCACTTCCTACATGGTGATTTTCTGGCGTGCTTTGTTTTCTAAAATATACACACACTTATGCTCTTTTGTGCACAAGGCCTTGTTTATGATCATTGTTCAATACCTCCTACTGTGGTGGCTTTCATGATGCAGGAATGTTGACTATAGGAGTGTCTAGGCTCTTTGGCACAGGTCTTAAATAGACTGTAAAATAAGTGTTCTGTACATGCTGATAAAGAATCCTTATGAATATGTTTCATAACGAGAAACTTTTCTTTTTGGAAACAATTTTTTTTTCCCACATAAAAATAAAGAAAAAGTCTCATAAAATGACAGGTAAAAAAGAAAAACACCTGCAAATATGTTCTTCTTGTTTATTTCCAGTCATAACTATAAATATAACTATGAATATAACATAACATAAATATAACTATGAATGTATGAAATCAAACAAATATTGGACGAAGTGAGGTTTTTGGTGGATTATTTTTAATTATTTATTTTCTCTCCAAGATGCATAAGAATTTTTGTTCAGTGAAATATTAAATCAAATTGCTCACTAGGGAAAAAAAATGAATGTTCATATTTCAATGTATTTTTTCTGTTAAATTCTATCTAATCAATATTAGATAATATATTCTTATAACTCATTTGTAAAAGTTGAGTGCTGTAAGCTTTTATTCTGCAAATTTACATATTTCACAGACATTAAATCAATGAGTGCATATTCTATTTGGAACACGATGCTGGCCATTGGAAATGGCAAGGTAAAAAAGACAGTCAGCTCAGATCCCTGCCCTCATGGACCATATAGTCTAGAAGAAAAGAGAAATACTAAACTAGTAGATAGATTGGATGTAGAAGAGGCTATGAGAGTAACTAGATCAGTCAAGACTATGGAACTAGATAACAGATAAGGAAAGGCTATTCGTAGGAAGTGACATAGAAAAATAATTGTTTAATTTCTTTGTTTTGCCTCTCACCTACCCCTCTCTTAGAGTAATTTTGGGTGTCTTTCTCCTATGGCTTTTGTAGAAACCTTATAAACAGCAAATTCATTCTAATTAAACTGGGCTAAACTTGTACACAATAACCCAGTTTCCATTTCCATGGCAACATTTCATGAGACATTATTTTTAAAAATTAGTATGTTATCATTACTATGAGAGATAGCTAAATTGAAATGCTTTAGGAACATTCTAAGAAAAAACATCATTCCAGCCTGGCTGGTGTGGCTCAATGGATTGAGCACCATCCCATGAACTGAGCGGTCCCAGTTTGATTCCCCATCAGGGCACATGCCAGGGTTGCAGGTTCAATCCCCAGTAGGGGGCATGCAGGAGGCAGCCGATCCATGTTTCTCTCTCACATTGATATTTCTCTCTTCCTTTTTCTCTCTCTCTAAAAAAATCAATAAAACCATATTAAAGAAAAAATCATTCCATGTGGCAGATGTATATGCTTTTAATATATAATAGTGCACTGTGAAAAAATGACTTTGAGAAAATGAAATGGTTTAGGAAATCAAATAATTTCTAAGATAGAAGGTACAAGAGGCACAACGAACTATTAGATGAAACAGAAAATAAATATTTCCAAACCTGTGAAAAATACTTTATCAATTAAAATATTTTAAATGAAGGAATTAGTAATCTAGGAAGGATAAAAATGTTCAGAAAATGAAAGGGGTTGAGAAGTTTTCAACTCAGATCAGAAAAGATTTGCTGTAAAAAAATAAAAACAAAATGTGTTAGAAATCTATTATCAAAGTGGACAAAGGGAAATAGGGCAAATGAGAAGAACACCACTGGAAGCAGGTGCTTGTCCCCTGAGTGGACATAACTAGGAACTGTGGAGTTTTCACGCAGAAAATAGAATTCCTTTAAATGATATACTGATTTATGGCTTGAACCACCATTTTAATCTTTCTGCATGGCATTTGGCATTTGGTTTGAAGGACTATGTTCAACCACACTTTCTCTTTCTCTTGCACTTTCCTTCCGGGAAGTAAACTCCTAATAGTTTTGAAAGTCGCATGTAAAGTTATTTATATTATAAATTGAAAATTTACCTTGGAATTTATAAAAATCTAAATGCAAAAATGTAGAATTAAATAATACCTTAAAATAAGGTTATAACTCTTTTAAAACGTTAGAATTTCATTTTGTTCTTATTTAACTTTAGTTGTTTAATATAGTATATAAGATAGCTGAAAGAATGCTGAATTATTTACCTAAGTATCAAAGAACTCTTATTAAACTACAGATTTACAGGCATAGAAACTGTTCTCTGAATCACTGAAAATTTGGATTGTTGGTCATGAAACAATCACATACACACACATCTGAAG